TATCCAACATTTTCTGCTGTTTATAGTTGCATTGCTGAGAAAGACTCCGTGGCACCACAAATTATGGATTGAGGAAGACAAAGATCTGCTTGTACACCTGACCACGAAGAACACATTCTACAGTTTAATCGGAGATGATCCAAGTATCAGCACACATCAAGTGGCCCTAGTATGTTGTACATATCATAGTACTGCATGGAGGGTATTTCAAGAGCAGCTCCTGTATCCACATCATTTGCAACATATGCATTGTCTTTTGCCCTCTGATCACCCACCTTGGAAGAACTTTTGCCGATGGTTTATTGTACAAACTGCCAATCCATTGTTTGTCTCTGCAGTCTTGTTTATGGATGAGGTAACTTTTGGAAGAGATGGAATAACAAATTCACACAACCAACATTTGTGGGCAGATCAGAATCCCCATGGTCAATACAGGCTAGAGACTAGCATCACTTTACGGCTGATATGTTGGCTGGAATTGTGGGTAGGTGCATATATAGTCTGGTAGGTGCATATATTCTCCCAGCACATCTTACAGGAGACATCTATTTCCAACACAATTCCAGAACTGCTAGAGGACGTACCCCTGCTAATATAAAGATGTATGTGGTTAATGCATGATGGGGCTCCAGCACATTTTAGTCACCTTATTCACAATGCACTGGCTGACATCTACCATGAAAGATGGATAGGTAGGGAAGGACCAATTCCATAGTCTGCACATTCCTCTGACAGCAATCCTTCAATTTTTTTTTATCTGTGGGGCCACCTAAAACAATTGCTTTATGCAACATTCATTAATAATACAGAGACGCTTCATCAACATGTCACAATGGCCTTCAAAACCATTCAACACCATGTCGGAGTATTTGAAAATGTGTGCCAGTCAATGATCTGACGGTTTCATGTGTGTGTAAAGCAAGTGGAGGACATTTTGAACATTTGTTTTGAGTTGCTGTATTGAGGTACAACAAAGTCCTTTTGGACATGTTTATATGGACATTTTACCTTATTTTGGTGTCAGGAACCTGTCCCCGAAGTTTTTAAATGTATTTTCGGATTGTATATTTAACAGTGTCTACCATAAACTTTATAAATCAAAAACTTATTTTTTGTTAGAATGTGTTAATTTTCTTATAAGTTTTCAACAAGTTTTCATAAAGAGGATAAATTGTGCACACATAAGTATAGTCATTAACTTACAAAAAATTAGTTAATATGGTAATATATCTCAAATGTTATAGAGAGTACAAGGGTACTAAAACTGGAAGTAAAGCATTTCCAGTCACAAAATCATTAGGTTTATAATCCACCCCAGAAAGAAAATTAAACAAGGTATAGTTAGTCATTTGTGCTGCACTGAATCATCACAGTGAATTTATGACCATTAACAACTGATAGTATTAAAAAAAAAAAAAAAAGGATGTAACAGGTTTTTATAAAAGTTTGGAAAGAGAAAGAAAAGTTGGAGAAAAAGAATTTGAATTAATGGATAAAAAAGAAGAAAAAACTCAAAACAAACTCGTATCAAATATAAATTCATGACTGTGAAAGGCACAAGTGAATAATAAAACATACTTTAAAGGCAGATCCTCTATTATTAAGAAAGAAAAAATTAAAATGTTTGGGAAGTTGAAAAAGAACCCATAAAAGAACCTATAAAAATAGTATACACTACAGAAGTACTTTTAAAGATCTTTTCATTTAATTCATTAGGAAGCACAGTACCCCCCCATTTCAGTCATAAAAGAGAGAGAGAGAGAGACAGGTCAGATGTCAGAATCTCAGTAAAGAAATACAAACTTTGTAGCTATTTATGTTGGTTGATAATTAAGCCAATGAGGAATCAAATTTTCATACATAAATTTTACACAAAGCATTACTTATAAAATGTTTCAATCCTCAACAGTATTAAAGAAAATCAGTCACAGATTACTGATATATCAAATATTACTTGTACAAAATGATCTAAGTTGTGATAAAAACAACTTGTTTTACATTTTTTTCTTATCCATTAATGACTTATTCACACGTAAGTTTTACAGAAGAAAAAAAAAATCAACAGGAAACTGCAACACATTCATAAAAAACTCTTTATAACTTTAGCATCCTATGTATCACTTGATTTTTAATATAAAATATCAAATTCTGTAGAAGAAAAATATTAAGCATTTAAGATCATTTTTAGGTTGAAAATATATCTGAAGATATGTTTTCTAAGTTTCTATTATTGGTGAGAGGAAAGCTTATGAATCAATGTGACAAAACAATTAAGATAAAGACAACAGTTGATAAAATCTCAATAACAATCAAATAAATTTCACATAAATTCAAAAGGTCCCAGAGGATTCTTCAATGTTTAAAAAATATTTTAAATAAGATTCTTATTCGTGAATCTAAAAATCCTTTTAAAAATACAGTATTACTTATTGCAAAGAGATTATATTAGCCCATTTAAAAAATATCAAAACATACAAGTAACAAAGGGCTTAGAATGAAATGAAAGAAAAAAAAAAAAAAAAAAAAAAAAAAAAAAAAAGATATATTTGATAACAACATTAGATCAGCTGATATGAATTGACTTTCTGCTTAAGAGATTTAAAGGCAATCTGTTCATAAAGTCAGTAACACCTAACAACCAACCTGCTGGCTGATGCATTGAATTACTGATCTTACCTTCAGGTAAAGATGAACGTTCTTTACATTAAGCTGCTAGCAAAGAATGATCATTACAGAGTAACTTATATGAATACAGACTAAGGTACACATTTGCTTTTGTGCAACACAAGGAATGTTGGTGAAATTTGGTATAGAAAAGCCAAAACAGTTATTAGATGACAAAGGCAGAAATGAAATAAATGTTAATAACAGAGAAAGTACAATACAAAGGATTATTCAGACACTTATCAAAACAGTTTTATTTTATGACTATGTATCATAAAAAAAGAGAGAGAGAGAGAAAGAAAGAAAAGTACCTAGGTGCGAGGAGAGAGAAAGTGAAGACTTATCTTTAAGATGCAAAATAATTGGATCCTCTTGATAAATCCTTATACTAAAAGGATGAGGATATGACGTCAGTAGTGTTGATATTACTCTGTGACTAGAGCAGCTGAAGGTGGGTTTTTAGTTGTGTGCAACTACAAGAGACATTTCACTATTGTTAAGACATTGAATATTATGAGATGCATTCTTTTGTATAGATCAGGTGCTGACCAATGGACAATCATTCAGTTTATAAAAGGTTGTACCCTGGATCCAGAAGAGTTGGATTGGTAATCAAAGACAACTCCACACCCCCACAAAGAAAAAAAGTATTACCAACACATCTGAACTGTTAATCTAAAAATAAGAAAATTAACAAACAGAACAAGCTGGTGAACCTTTCTGCTACAAAATAAAATACAAATTTAAAAATATATTCACTAGGATAAAGTCTTGCCTGATACTACAGAAAAAGGTTTATTCCAAACTTGACAGAGAAAAAAAAAAAAAAAAAAGAGTAAAAATAATGACTGACTAAATTAAAACAGCCACAGGCATTAAATCCACAGGTCTCATGAGAGGAGGAAACAAAAAAATATTTACAAAATTATTTAATAAAACTTATGTCAAAATAAGTGCAAATAGTAGACTGGACAAAATATTCACCCAAATAAATCTGGCTTTCTATCACACAAAAAGAAAGAAAGAAAAAATGGAACCAATTTTTCCAATATAAAAAGCTGAGGAGGTCAGGGGAAAGGCAATAATGAGGAAATGAATGGATTCAGTCATGGTCATGATTGTGAAGACATGAAAATCTATTATTTCATATGACTTCTGAATGGCAAACTACATAAAGCAAAGATATCATTGAGAATCTTGTACATAAATAGAGAAATTCTCAATTTTGGACATCTTTAACAAAGTTGCAGCAGTACTAGCAGCAGCTGATTATAATGTAAATTTAGGCAACAACAATTTATTTAACCATGTTGTATTAAATTGTAGTAAATTAAAAGGTTTGTGTTTAACTGGTCATTGTGTTTTTTCCAATTTTTTTTCCCCAGTTCTTGCATATCTGGATCAAAACTGCAAATAAACTGTCCACACTTCATATTTTCTGTTCTGTTTGAGTACTTTTGACCATCGTGATCATTATCAGAAACTAAGTATTGCCAGTATCACAGTTTGCTATCTAAATCCTGTAATTTTTTGGAATGTTATAACTCTAATTTAAATATATGTGCAGTGTATAACTGATGGCATGTGTAGAACAGTTTCAGAGCTTGATGACAACTCTTGTCTATAATACTGACAACATTTAGTTCTCATTGATGACAAAGATGGCCAAAAGTACTTTGACAGAAACATAAATTTTGGAGAGTTCATCCACCATTTGGATCTAGATGCACAACTTATTTGAAAATTAGAAAAATACAATAAAATCATTAGACAGATGGACCTTATCAGTTAAATTTAATACAACTTGTTTAAATATATATGATGGAAGCAGGAAAACAACTTTCAAGATACAAAGTTGATAAATAAAGACCGAGCAAGTTAGTCTGTTAGGCAGTGTGTGGCCGGTCCAACCAAAGCCATGGTTTAGATGACTTTACACTGCCAGTAAAGACAAACAGATGGTACGATATAAATAACAACTTGTGAGTGACATAATGCAACCATCTGGCAGTGCTGTGACCACTATTACTCTAGTTCTAACAATACTAATGTTGCAGTGAAAGGTCACGCACCTGAGGCTGCGAGGACGGCAACCCGCAATTTAAAGTAGGAGAAGTCAGGGTAGATGGATGGAGAAGTAGCCATGACTGAGCGTAGATGAGCAGGTAGAAGTCAAACTGATGAGGACTGAGCAGAGGACGACCAATCCAAGCTCTCTGTGTATGACACATATGTGGGGAGTGCCCAGCTGTCTCGCAGCTGGACTGGCTCGTACTTTGCACCACTGTCACGGTCTTTTGGACGAGTGTAAGTGCTAGTAGTGGTAATGTACTTACAGCTCTCATCTTCTTCTGTATACACATAGATTGTTATGCAGGAAAATATAAATCCAATGAACTGAAATTAAAATAAAAAAATAGTTACAATATTGTCATTTTTACATTTAACTAGGATTAAAAAATATCTGGGTAATTAAGCATATTGAAAAAACTTGGTAATGTGAAAAAAAATCTTATAATGCAAGTTATTTTCACAGGGTAAGTTTGACATGCATACAACAACAAAAAAAAAAAAAAAAAAAAAAAAAAAAAAAAAAAAGGTAGTTTTTAAGACTTTAAATATATTTAAAGAAATTTCTTATTTTGAGCCTCAAGACAGAAGCTAAAAGATCATATGCCTCCCAACTCTCTTGTTACCAAGTAGCCAGTGTTTATTTTCATGCAACTTTGTATACAGGTAGTTATATAGCACCAGATGTTAAATGATAGCATTTTAAAATATTTAAACTTATATCTTAATCCTTGCTTGATTTATCAATAATAATACTTTTTTTATCCTTGACATCAAATAATGTTAACATTTTTTTTGCTAACTTTGTAGTTTTAAGATCAAAGTTACCGATTTTCTTTTTCAGTTTTTCTTCAATAAATCTTGTAAGGAAATAGTAAAATAGTTTATATAAATCAAATCTTAACAGACAAATGTGCTTTCTAATTAGATACTTTGTTTTTCTAAAGAAAATTTCTATTTACTGTAGAAATTGTTTATTCCATTTTGACATATGCATGAATATAATTTTCTTCAAGTTTCTTTCATCTTACTGAATACAGAAAAGTTACTTTTCAAGTCTTCACTATACAAATAGATTTAAAACTTTCTTTAAAGTTATAATTTCAAAATTTTTGATAGGGATTATACTAATTATAATAAAAGAAAATGAATTATTAGTTTAAAAAATATTCAAAGTGGTGATAGATTTTAAACTTCAAAATTGACAATTGTCTTCTAAATTGATTTCTAAACTTTTCATAATTTTAAGTGAGTTTAATGACGCAGTATTGGGGAGGGACAAAAAAGAAATGTAAGTGACTAATTCAAGTAAATAAAAGTAATTAAAAAAACATGTAAAAATCAACTTATGATAATATCTAAAATGAGAAGAATAAATGTCAAGAGCAATTTCTATAGTTTATTGACTTAGTCATGGTGGGAGAAAAGTTCAAGAGGAGAGTCAGAGTAAAAGCTTAGGAAGCAGGTGAATGCATTAATGTGATCACTGATCAAAAAAACAAAAACAAAAACAAACTAAAATTGAATTTCATTCTTTTTACAAACAGCATAACAGATACATTACAAGCTTGTTTACTTCCAGGTCAGGCATTCAAATCATGGCAAGCACTCTTAATTTTACTGAACAACAATTTGTTTTGCATGATACAAAATCAAATACGAGTAACATTTCCTTATATATTTTTTGAATGAAATTATTTAAAAACTAACCTCATTGTAATTATCACTGGTGAGCAAATAAATTTTTATATTTGTTTTACACTGGTTTATCTGTTAAGTATCAAGACTAGATTTGTTTGTAATATTTTATGATCATACGTAATTAGATCAAAATGATTTTAGATATTTAATTTTAGGTATATAAGCATAAGGTAATACTCCAACCACTTTTGCTGCTTGTTGAACATCACCCCTCTCTATTTCAAGAAAATCAGTTTTCACTGCACTATTGCCATAATAAAGACCTTCACAGAACTGAATGAATTGGTAAAAAAAAAAAAAAAAAAAAAAAAAAAAAAAAAACAGACAACAAACCCTATATCAATATGACAGAGTTCATGGAACATATTAGCAGGAAGAGACTGATGTGTAACCCCCACAACCACCACAAAGAAAAAATACAGCCTGAACTGGATGGAATGTCAGGTGGGGATGGGTGGGTTTTTGAGAGAACAAGAAAAACTAAAGATGAGCCTAATGTTGGTGGTGGTTGGGGGAAATGAGTCATTGAATATTAATTAACTTATCTCAAAATATCTTCCAAAAATAGTTTGACTCACAATGAAGAGCTGATAACATTTTTGAAAACTGAACATAATGTGTAAAGAATCTTCAGTTGGAATATCAAGTTTTGGTTGAAAGCAAGAAAACTAGTTCTTGTGCCTGTCAGAGAGACAAAAGAACCACTCTTGAAAACTAAACAGAAATGAATATTGGTGAAGTGAAATGGAGTAGAACAGTGAAAGAATATTGATCAATTTTAAAGACTTTCAAGATTTGATGATGATGCAATAGCCAAGTTTTCTTGCAAAATTATAAATACATGCAAATTGTGTCCCAGAGCTAAATCAAGCCTAGTTTATACCTCCATTGGGAATGGATGAACATTCTGATGTTGATCTTAATAATCCTCAAATTAATTTCAATCATACTTCTGCAGTCTATTAAGAAATAGGAAAGTTTCATTAGAAACAGAGAAGAGTGTATTAAATTACTATGTAATACCAATCATCCTCTATGGCAAAGGATACTGGACAATTTCCTCAGATGAAGAAAAGACTAAAGCCAACAGAAATGTGGTTCTACAGAAGGATGCTGAGAACATGTGAGCAATGAGGAAGTTTTAAAGAAAATGCAAACAAAAAGGGCACATATTTTGAATCAAAAGGAGACAGGTGAAATTTCTGGGATGTATAATGAATAAAGAGGGCTTTGTGAACTTGACACTCACAGGATATACAAGATGGTGAAGGGAAATAGTGAGTAACCCTCTTAACTAGCCTGTGTAAATGGATGTCTGAATATGGACTGGGAAGGATAAGGGAACAGACATTGCTTAGAGCTACAAAGGATAGGAAGTTGTGGAGAGACATGATTGCCCATGTCCTGATGGAACATAAAACAATTTTTTAATCAGGCATGAAAAAGAAAGATCATATACACAAACTAATAAAATATCTAATGCAAATAATTAAAAGTTTGACTTTTAAGTAAAAAATAACTTTGAAAAAAAATCTTTATCTGCATCAAGGCATGTATATTCATTATTAAAATCTGTAAATTATGACAATTAATTTCTACATATAAGCTTCAGGTTTAATTATTAATACAACCATTATTTTGACTGCAGTGTTCAGTAAAATCAAATACAGAATTCTAATTAATTTCATTAATGTGTGTTTGTTGTTTTTGTTTAGCAGCATATCAACATCTATGAGTTATTTTAATGCTGAAATCTAAATATTTTGTTTGCAATTTTATTTTTGGAGATAATAATGGTTTAGTGATACAAGCCTTACCAATTAACCTATAGCTGGAGTGAGAAGAGGTGGATTTGTACCTTTCCCAAGGGTATTTGCACGTAAGTGAACATAACAAACCGAACTGGAATTCAAACTCAGTTTTCCAATTAACATTTTTGAGCCATTATTCAATAAACCACCCACAAATCCAAGCTTACAGCACCTGGTATTCCCAAGCAGTCACCCATCTAGGTACTGATGATATTCAGTCACCCCCCCCAGAGGGTGTCATGTGGCACAAGGCCTTTTTAACGTGGGTATTGACTAGGTTCAATGTTGCTTAACATTAGTGATTGTATAGACAGAGGGTAAATCTTTTAAAGCCGAAAGGATTTGAGGACAAAGTATGAAACCATGTGTTTCCTGTGTCATTAAGTTGGCAAAGCACATTACTAAAAACTTCCTCCAGAAAAATATAAAAAAAATTCATGATGTGGACAAGCTGAAGATTTAGAGAAAATATCAACTTGAAAGTAAGCAATGATAATCATAAGTTATAAATGGCAAAGAGATAGAAAATATCTGAAAGGCAGAGAGTTAGAATAATTGGTAACATCTAAATAAACATTATGTGAAGAATTCAAGAAACAGAATATAAATTAAAAAAGAAAAAATAAATCATCCACACATATACACTTTAATGTGTTAATGCACAAAATATCAAAATTACACAGAAAAAAAAAATATATATATAAAATTTCCATTATAACAAAAATAAGTTTCATTCATAAATTTCTTTTTATTTGGAATCATAATGAAGAATTGTTTAAACTGTTGTCATAGCTATGGAACATCTAAGTAACAAAATTTTTCATTTAAAACTTATTTGCTACACTGTCACTTAACTGATGGCAAAATGATCAAATCTAAATTGTTTGTTCGGTTAAAACATTACATTTATTAAAAATACATTCAATTTAAATACAAAAGGAACCATAAAAATGACTTGAAAGGGCTGCATATTTTGGCTTCTACTCTTTTCCTGTTACCCAGGGATTGTTGCCAGACAAAAAAGAAAACTTAACCCTCATGACAGATGGCCCTTTTCAGTTTCCTTCAAATGGTGTGTGTGTGTATCTTAATTCAATGAGAGACCTGAAAAATCTATCTACATTTAAAAGCTAATTCTTATTACTGAGTAATTTCTGAAAAGTTAAATAAAATCTTATAATTTTTTTTGTTTCTAACTTGATGATTATATTGCTCAATGTATTATTCCAATGTCTTCTTTCAAACTCAACCAAATTCTCGAAGTATATGTGTATACATTAAATGGCACAAGCACATCTATTACTCATAACACAGACAAATCTTGGCTGCAGTCACTTTCTCATTGCTGTAACAGCTTTTCTGTGCCTTTTCTATAAATACTTTCATGCTAATTGTTCTGATGAATTTTCCTATATGTTACATAGACTTTAGGGAATTAAATGTAGTACTATATTGGCAGCAAGTTCTCATCATTTTATAGTAGAAATGGTGAGATGTAACTAAGTTATATGTTAATAGTTTCTTTTCTCACATTTTCCATTTGTGGAACTATTCCAGTTTCTTGCTTTCCAATCAAGTTTGATCTTCAAAAATTTAAATGCAATTTTGTTTTCATCTGTCTTAATTTGTTCTTTTGCTTTCAATCCTTAATAATGTTTTCTTTTTCTTATATTCTTTCACACTCAGAACACCTGTCCTGCGTCTCGGTGGCTTTTTTTTGCCTTGTTTGGGGGTAAGAAAAAAAAAAAAAGATACATACAAAGTCACATGCAGAAAATGTATGATGGACAGTGATTCAGCCCTTCTTTTATAATA